AGTCAATTATGTCAAAAAAAAAGAAAAAAAAAGCTCTAAAAAAAATCGGGCTTAAAAAAAAAATTATATGTCCAAAAAAAAACCATAAAATAATGGAAAAAAAGGCAAAAAAAAGGTTTCAGTAAAAAAAAAATTGACTTATGTTTTGAGACTCATTCACGCCTTAAAAGCTTTGCGTCGGCTTACACAAGTCTCGAGGGGGCATTTTATAGGCATTAAATATTAAATGCCTAAATTGAATTAAATAGCATGTATTTTGGAAGAAATAAAATTTTAATAAAATAAATATATGGTATTTAATTATGCACATATGTTAATTTTTGTACAATAAATATCAACCATTAATGCAAAAATCTGCTTAAAATGAAAGATATTGTAGAAATATTACGTGCATAAATAGCCATAATAAATTTGGCAGCAAAATAAATTAATTTTGTCAATATAGGAAGTATATAAATTAATATCTTCCGAAAAAGACAATGACATAAAGATTTTGGTGAGAAAGGAAGACGTGCAATCAAATCTTTCAAGAATAAAAAACATCTGATGGAAAATGAAAAATTATAAAATCTTCTTGTTGGCTAATCAGGACGCGCCACGTGGCACCATTAAAAAAGGAAGTTGAGGCCACCCCTTCCTTATAAATAGGAGCCATGGTCAGTTCATTTGACACACCGAAGTTACATCGAGGATTCAACAAAGGGGTAAGTCTCTAGACTCTCTCTGTATTGTTCTTCATGTTCTTCGTGTCATTCGAAGCGTTCTTCGTCGAAAGTCACTGACTTGGACAAATGATCTAATATTGGTTGACAAATCGATGGAGTTAACGTTCTTCGTCGTATGCCCAAGCCGAAGGAGGATCAAAGCTCTCAAAGCCGTTGAGAAATTCGTCAAAGCTAAGGGAAGGTCTCCAAAGTTTATCCCAAAGCTTCGAGGTGTTCATCGCGTTATTCACCAAAGCATCAAATCGGCCCTCTTCGAGGAAGAGCATCCAAAGTTCATCCAAAAGCTTCAAGGTGTTCATCGCGTACTTCACTAAAGCATCAACCAGGCCCTCTTCCATCCAAAAATCAAAGGGACACGCCGCCAAAAGTGTTATGGAGCACCAAATCCACATCTTCAAGGATTAAAGCTCCAAAAGCCATTGAAGAATCCATAAAAGCCAAGGAAGAACATCCAAAGTTCATCTTAAAGCTTCGAGGTGTTCATCGCGTTCTTCACCAAAGCATCAACCAGACCCTTTTTGATCCAAAAGTCAAAGGGACATTCCACCAAAAGCGTTATGGAGCACCAAATCTACCTCATCAAAGATCAAAGCCGCGGATTGTTCAAAGAAGACACCAAATCCAAAGCCGACGGTTAAGTCATCCACACGGAGACCGAAGCTCTTCAAAAGGCGGAAAAGACAAGCCAAAGATCAAAGCCGTAGATCGTCCAAAGAAAACATCAAATCCAAAGTCGACGATTAAATCGCCCATACGAAAACCGAAGCTCTCCAAAAGGCGGAAAAGACAAACCAAATATCAAAGCCACAGATCGTCCAAAGAAGACATCAAATCCAAAGCTGAGGATCAAATCGTCCGCATGGAAACCAAAGCCCTCCAAAAGGCGGCAATGACAAAGCAAAGATCAAAGCCTCGAATTGTCTAAAGAAGACATCAAATCCAAAGTCGATGATCGAATCACCTACACGGAGACTAAAGCCCTCCAAGAGATGGTAAAGCCAAATCAAAGATCAAAGCCACGGATCGTCTAAAGAAGACATCAAATCCAAAGCTAATGATCAAATTGCCTACACGGAGATCAAAGCTCTCCAAAAGGCGGAAAATCCAAATCAAAGATTAAAGTCTCGGATCGTCCAAAGAGGACATCAAATCCAAAGCCGACGATCAAATCGCCCACACGGAGACCAAAGCTCTCCAAAGTCCAGCAAAGTCAAACCGAAGATCAAATCTCTTCCGATCAAAGAAGCCATTGAAAACCAAGTTAGAAAACAAATCGACCCGGAAAGAGAATCAAAGGACCCATTTAGAGAATAAGACCCGCTTTAAATCCAAATTGAATATAATTTGTACAAATTTTGTGTTTATTAAAAATAACACAATTTTTTGTTTACATATACTAATGAAGAATTAGAGGGTGTTTGACAAACAACTTCTACTTGTTGAATAATTTTTAATTGTTTGACCAGTGAATCAACTATTTGATGTTGATAAATTAGTTTTTTCAATTACCTAATTGAGTCCAAAAAAGTTAATTTTGAAAACACTATTTATCCAAACATTTCATATTAGTTTTTTTTTTATTTTAATATATTTTATTTTTTATTTACCCTCAAAATTAATTAATTCTTTTATATATGTTAATACTTTTTATTACACTATTTATTAAATATTTCCTTCTAATAACTTATAAATTTATTTTTATAAATTTAAAATAATTATTTTTGTATATATCAAATATTTTATTTATAGAAGTTTTCAAATTTTTTAAAATAAAAATATTAATATTATTAATTCATTTATATATTTTTTATCACATAAAATTTTTATTAATTAAAAACTAATCTAATAAAAATATATATAATAATAATATTTTATTTTTATATTTATACTATTTTGAATGAAATATATATATTTCAATAAAATTACATTAATTTTTTACAAAATATTTAAAAATTAAAAATAAAAATTTTAATAAAATATTTCTAATTTTCAATAATTAATAATAAAATTCTAAAAAAGCATATCTACTGAAAAAATTCAACTAAAATTCCTTATTTTTTAAAAAAATAAATTTTTTTTAATTGTTATTTTATGTATAATCAGTTTATACAAAACTGCTATTTTAGCAAACACTTTAGCACAACCAACTAATGCGTTCAACTAGTCAAATCAGTTAATTAAATCATCTAATAACTAACAACTAATCGAATAAACTATTAGTTAAAAACTAACAATTAATTGCAAAACATCTCATTTAATACGGTTAGGTGTAGCTTTCTTCGCTGCATTGCAAAATAAATATTAGTAATTTCTATTTAACAAAATGAATAATGGTGAGTAGAGTAATTTAAGAGATTTTGATTAAATAATTATTTATTTATAAACAATAGTAACGATGGTTATTTATTCAAAATATCTAATGCTATGTTTAAATAAGTTGGTTGAAAAATTTGACATTATTCATTAATAATATTTATTTTTAAAAAATATCACATTAAATATATAAAATTTTAAGTTTTCAAAATTTCTACCTAAACAAAGTCTGAATTTTCAAATAATTTCCTTATCGGTTGTAATTATATTATTTTTTTCTTTATAATTCTTAAACATTCTAACCCATAAGATTGTTATATTTCACCCTCTAAATAATATTTTATTTATTTATGTACTTATCATTCCCAACTGTATTTATATTTTTCTTATCGAATATAACTTAAAATACTCAATTCATCCAAATGATTTATAAACATTTCTCATCCAATAACAAATGAGAACAAGGTTTTCTATAATTCCTTATCGGATTTTGAATTTAAAAATTTACATACACCAAACTTTCGCCCCCCTAGAGCCAACAAAATACGAACGAGGTGGTGGCTGATATTCGGGTTTACTTTATGGCTGGAATTTCAGTCCCCGGATGATGCTCCTACGCGGGGTAGTTGAGGGATGCATCGTCACCGTTTTGATCAAGAGTGGCGCAAGCCATAATTTCATATCTTCTTCGCTAGTTTTTTTTTACTACGGCTCTGTCTGGATCAAACAAGTAGGTTCGGTGTGCAATTGGGTGATGGCCATAGGCAGTAATCTGAGGATGTTTGTAGGCAACTCCCGATTTCATTACCAGGCTGCAATATCTGACCTGGTTGCTACGTGTTTGCCATAGGGGGCGTTGATATCATTCTTGAAGTCGCATGGCTCGCCAAATTGGGTGAGATCCACACCAATTGGGAGGCCTTAACTATGAATTTTGCATGGGACAGATAGGGGATCCATCGATGTGTCGGAATTTGGTTAGCCTGCGCACCTTGATCAAGACTATAGCGGTTGAATTTTGGGCAATATTACTTGAGGGTAAGCTGGGAAAATTGTCTAGCGCATCTGCGAAAGAGTTGGATGACATTCTCGACTAGAACACAGAGGTCTTCGCGGAGCCGAAAGAGCTACCCCTTTGTCGTCCGACGGATCATCAGATAGAGTTGACCCCAAAGGCCACTCCACTCTCTATCCGACCTTACCGGTACAACCATGCCCAAAAGGATGAGATCGAGCGGTTAATAGATGACATGTTGCAGGCAGATATCATCCGCCCGAGCTCCAGCCCATTCTCGAGTCTAGTTCTTTTGGTTAAGAAGGATATGGTAGTTGACGGTTTTGCGTAGATTTCCGAGAGATCAATAAAGCTACCGTGCCAGACAAGATGAGTTGGCAGGAGCGGTCGTGTTCTCCAAGATTGACCTACGCTTTGGCTACCACCAGATTCGGGTGGTCACTTCTGACATTCAAAAAATGTCATTTTGAACTCACTGCGGACACTATGAGTTCCTCGTAATGCCTTGTTGGTTGAAAAATGCCCCGACGACCTTTCAGTCTGGCGTTCATGAGACGCGGCCACAACGAGCAACGACCAACTCTTGGTGAAATGGATAGGACATTTTGCCGACGATGCGGCGTGGATGGACAAGGCTGACTTTCAGAGTCAATTTACAGATTTCAACCTTGAGGACAAAGTTGTTTCGGAAGAGGATGGAATTGATAGAGAGCCAGAGCAAACACCCGAGAATGAAAAAGGGCAAGACCCTTACTCATCTATAGAAAGCGGGGACGGGATTGGGCTTGCCTTCAAAGCCTAGATTTTAGTCTTTTATTAATTATTAATAGTTGAATGATAGTTAGAAATCACATGCGTTTTTTATGTTTATATTATATGCGATATTTAATTGATTTTGATTGGATTCTACCTAATTTATATGCGTATTATTTATTTGCTGTGTGCAGAGGACAAATATAAAATTTGGCGTAATTGGCAGAAAAAGTAAAGAAAAATTCAGATTTGCACAACCTAATTAGTCATGGCCATGACTAACTATACCCTTCTGACATGGGAATTTAATTAAAGGCCCAAAAGCCAGTTACAAAATAATTAGGGCAAAAATTAAATAAAAATGGAGGATCACACGTTTTAGAAGGGGGAGAAAGGCCAGAGCATATACGCATAGGAGCAGGAGACTGACTGACTCAAAGATCGTGCATAAGCAAATCGACAGAGAATATTTCCCCTCCAACTATGACTTTATTGTTCTCTATTGTTCTTTGTTATTTGATTATGTAGTAGTTATTTTTCTGGTTTGAGGGATGATAATGTTTTGGTTCTCTTGTTTTGGAGATTCTTAATTTTCTTTATAAAAGTTCTTTTTGATTATCAATATTTGTCTAATTTTGAGAATAACGTTTGTGATTGTTAGATTGATTGAATATTTTGGTACCGATATTTGCCTTAGTATGATAATCTAAAGTCAATTTAGGTAGGATATCCGTAATTGTATTCGCACTTGAATAGGTGACAATCGGGTTGAATAGTTCCTTCCCGAGGGTTAGACAATCAAATCTAATTGCTCTTCTTATGTAGTAATTGTTTTGAATTGGGTTTTTTTAGATTAGAATGCGATTAGACAATATTTCTTATGGACGCACCTAGGTTTATTTGCTTAATTAGGGGTAGTTAACGGTCGTACCTTAATTACCTACACTGTAAGGAAAAATTGGTTGTCAGAGCTTGTTGATAACTATAACGAATTTATTGATACTTTAATAAGAATTAACTTTATTGAATTAATGATAAAACACAAGTGCCATAACTGTATCATCCCTTGAGCCAGACATCCCCTTGATAGCTAGTTTCCCGTCGATTTAATTGTTTTGTTATTTTTTCTTCATTATATAATAAAAGAAAATTCCCCCATTTTATTTACTGCATTAAAACGCGAAAGAGTAAATCACACAATCCCTGTGGAGACGATCCCTTCCCCTGTATTACATTAAATTATGATCACAAAATATGTGAATTATTTGATTGACCGCGCGACAGGTCAATTTTTGGCGCCGTTGCCGGGGATTGACGCTTTGTTTTATTCTTTTGTATTATTTTAATTTATCCTCCTGTGTATGCCCTGTCCTTCTCGTACATGTGAACTGATATTTAATCTTGAGATCGAGAAGGTTGAGCGAAAGCTGCGGAAGGAAGTCAAGCAACAAAAAACTGCTCAGGTTGCGAAGCTAGCAAAATCTTTAAATCACCTCAAAATCTTTAGCTCTAGCGACTCTGAAAGTGATCAAGAGACTGTCATGGCTGAGGATCCTCGCACTCTAAGGGAGTTGACTGCTCCCAACTTGGCGCAGCAACCCTTATGCATTAATTTTCCAACACTCAATAACACTATTGCTAATTCATTTATTGCCTTCTTTTCATGGACTTGCAGGTGAAGAATCTCACAAACACTTGCAAGAGTTCGACGTGGTGTGCTCCAACATGAAACCACTAGGTGTTACTGACAAACAGATCAAACTCAGAGCCTTCATATTCTCACTCAAAGATGTTGACTCTACTATCTCCCACCTGGAAGCATCGACACGTGGAACAACATGAAAAAGAAATTTTTGGAGAAGTACTTTCCAGCTTTCAGAGCTGCGATTCTGTGGAAGGAAATATGTGGCATCAAGCAACAATCAGGTGAAACGCTCCATGAATATTGAGAGCGATTTAATAAGCTTATCATTAAATGTCCAAACATCAAATTCCCCTTCAATTATTGATTCAATACTTTTACGATAGTCTGTCATTGATAGACAAGAACATCATCGATGTTGCAAGTGGTGGAGCTTTAGTAAATAAGACGCCGGCACAAGCTTGGAATCTTATTGCGAGGATGGCTGAAAACACACAGCAATTTGGTTCAAGGGATGTTGGATAGACGAGCGGAAACAACAGCGACCATGCCATCCAATCGATGTAGCAACAACTTTCTGAGTTGACGAGTTTTGTTTGCAAGATGTTCGTGGAAAAATCCAACCCGAGTGTCCAGGTCAATGCGTGTGGAATATGCACGAGTGCAGGACACCCTATAGATGCATGTCTGACCCTCCAAGAAGAATGTGCAGTGGATGTGAACGCTGCAAACTATGGTATGAATAGACCTCCAGCGTACAATCCATACTCCAAAACCTACAACTCAGGCTGGAGAGATCATCCGAACCTATGCTATGGAAATGCACAGCAGAGTCATGGTCCTCAACCATTTGGAGCCACACACCAGATACAACAACCTCGTCCTTTTGAGAAACAGTCCCTCCAAGCACCCACGAGTAACTCTAGTCTGTCTTTGGAAGACTTGGTGAAGTCTATGGCTACCATTACCCTGCAATGCCAGCAAGAGATGAAGTCAACTGTCGATAAGCTACAAAGTCAGATTAGCCAAGTATCAGAAGAGGTAAAACAGCTACGTGAAAGAGAAAAGTGGCCTGCGCAAGCAGAGAAAAACCTGAAGAACATCAGTGCTATAACCCTTCGTAGCGGAAAGGAGTTGGAAGGTCCACCTCCTATCTCAAAGGAACATAATAAAGATCAAATTGAAATAGGGATTGAAAAAAAGGCTGAACTTCACGAAAAGGTACCTCCTAACTCTGTTCCTCCTACTGAAGCTAAATCAGCTCTTTTTTCTAACAGGTTGAAAAAACCACAAAAGGCAAACAAATGAAAAGCGATGATGGAAGTATTCAAGAAGGTGTAACTTAATATCCCGCTCTTGGAGGCTATCAACCAAATCCCCGAGTACGCGAAGTTTTTGAAAGAACTGTGTACTAACAAAGGAAATATTTTGAGGGGACGAGCATATTACAGCGGGTGAGAACGTCTATGCTGTTCTTAAAAGAAAAGTAGCACCTAAAATAGGTGATCCAGGTATGTTTTCTATCCCTTGCAAAATTGGAAAAACAGAAGTGGCTAAGGCTATGTTAAACTTAGGCACCGGTATTAATGTTATGCCGCGATCACTATATGACTCTCTAAATATAGGACCTTTAAAAGAAACAGGTATTATCATTCAGCTTGCTAATCGAACTAACGTCTATCCTGATGGTATGGTAGAGGATATACTAGTTCAAGTGAATGACCTGATTTTTAGTGTCGACTTTTATAATTTGAATATGCATGATGCACACTGCTTTAATCCACCGTCTCTCTTACTAGGCAGACCTTTCATGTGCACTGCAGGGACAAAAATTGATGTACGGAAGGGGCACCCTCACTTTGAAATTTGATGGAGAAGAAGTCCATTTCAGTATTTTTGATACTGTGAAACATCCTGTTGATTCTGAATCATTATATGCAATTGATGTCATTGATCCCTTGGTGCAGGACGTATTTAAATTAAGTGGTTTCGATGAATTGAAGATCGTGTTGATGGAACATCTGAAGGAAGACATGTGAGAGAGATGGCCGTAGACAAGAGAATAAGAGAAGTTCTCAAGGAGCTTAACTCAACTCTCAGAGAGTCACCAAGGTATGAATTGGCTCCAATATTCTTACATGAATCTAATATGTGTTTATTACCATCTTTGATGCATGCACCTGAATTGGAATTGAAGCCTCTACCTGAAACTCTGAATTACGCTCATTTGGGAGAGAAGAATACTCTACCCGTGATCATCTCCGCAAAATTGACACCAGATCAAGAAGAGAAATTGATTAAGTTTCTAAAAGATCACAAGACTGCCATTGGATGGATGATCGCTGACATAAAAGGTATTGATCCCTCGTTCTGTACTCATAGGATAACACTCGAGGAGGATTCGAAACTGGTGAGACAAGCTCAAAGAAAGTTGAACCCGATTATGACTGAGGTAGTCAAGAAAGAAGTATTAAAGCTCCTCGATGCTGATATCATCTACCCTATATCCGATAGTAGGTGGGTGAGCCTGGTTCAAGTAGTTCCCAAGAAAGCTGGAGTAACGGTGGAAGAGACTCGAGAAAGAGAAAAGCTCCTTGTTCAAAAGCAAACTGGATGGCGCCAGTGCATAGATTACCGTAAGCTCAATGCGGTAACAAAAAAGATCATTTTCCTCTCCCTCATATTGATCAAATGATTGAAAGACTCGCTGGTCGTGCATATTACTTCTTTTTAGATGGATTTTCAAGTTACTTTCAGATAGCGATAGCACCCGAGGAACATGAGAAAACATCATTCACCTGCCCATTTGGAGTTTTCGCCTACAGAAGGATGCCTTTTGGTTTGTGTAACGCTCCTGCTATATTCAAAAGATGTATGGTAAGTTTTTTCTCTGAGTATATCGAGCGAATCATTGAAGTGTTTATGGATGACTTTAGCGTATATGGCTCTAGTTTTGATGATTGTCTAGGCAATTTGACTATAATCTTGAAACGATGCATCGAAATTAACCTTGTGCTTAATTGGGAGAAATGTCAACTGATGGTTCAGCAAGGAATTGTTTTAGGCCATAAGGTGTCACATGAGGGTATAGAAGTAGATAAATCTAAAGTTGAGCTAATCACTACTTTACCTTACCCTACTTCTGTGCGAGAGCTATGCGGTTTTTTAGGACATGCAGGTTTTAATCGACGCTTCATCAAGGACTTCTCAAAGATCGGAGCACCATTGTTTCACCTCCTGCAGAAAGATGTAGCATATAAGTTCAATGACGATTGCAATAAGGCATTTGGAGCACTGAAGGAGCGCCTCACAACCCCACCGATTATTCAATCTCCGAATTGGGACTTGCCATTCGAGCTGATGTGTGATGCAAACGATACTACAGTGGGAGCCGTTCTAGGGAAACGAGTTGGGAGAGCTTCTCATGTCATCTACTATGCTTTGCGAGCATTGTATGATGCTCAATTTAATTATCCTACCACGGAGAAAGAGATGTTTGTTGTTGTTTTTGCTTTTGATAAATTTAGATCTTATCTTTTAGGCACCAAAGTGTTTGTTTACTCTGATAATGCAACTCTACGCTACTTGATGGCAAAAAAGGAGGCCAAACCTCGATTAATTCGATGTGTTCTCCTTCTGCAAGAGTTCGACATAGAAATTTGCGACAAGAAAGGAACTGAAAATTTGGTAGCTGATCACTTGAGTCGTATACCCGTGGAGTCAGGTGCAGTTCCTGTTCGAGAGTCTTTTCCTGACGAACAACTTCTCTCTATTGCAACTACACACCCTTGGTATGCTGATGTTGTTAATTACTTAGTCACTAACGAGTTTCCTGCAGGTTGGGCAAAGGAGAAAAGGGATAAGCTCCGGAGCGATGCAAAATACTACATTTG